TGCACATCTAAAATACCATTATTCTCAAATTAAGTCTTATGATATTTAAGATGTAACTTTATTGTTTAAATCTCTACATAATTTTTTCAGTAAAACACTTTTAAAAAAGAAAATGAAACTATTTTTTTTTATATAACCAATAACCAGTCATTTGCCTTGACAGGACATGTAACCTATGTTCACAGAATAAACTTTCCAAAGTGCTAGTTGACTTAATTTAATGTTTTGCTGATTTTCCACTATGTTACATTCAAGATAAACTAGCACTTTATCACTGTGTAAGCAGGAAAATGACTCTTAGGGGCACAGTAAATTGAGAAGAGGGCTTTTTTTAAACCTTAGGCAATTAAAATAGATTGACCTTTATAGTTGTACCACTGACCTTTTCTCTGAATCTACTTGATTGGCAGTGAAATATTTCTGACAAGTGCTCTGGTAAGCTAGGTTGAGAAACTATATAGCAGGTATCACTTATAGATCATACTTCATGTGGTTTTATTTTCACACAATGCACTACATGATAATCTGTATAAAATAAATGCCTACTCTGAGAAGTCAGTTAAAGTGACTTTTTCCAATTCTGGCTTTCGATTACCATTTTTGCCATCTACTCTCAGATAAGTCTATCAACTGTTGAGAATTGAACAATGCATGGGTCTATATTGCTTTGAAAAGAGAAAGCAGTCAATAAAACAGCATAATCCTCTCTCACCAGCAAACTCTAAATCTTTCAAGAATTCTAAGTCAAGTGGTGTACCTGCTTACTCTTGTGCCAGTTGGCCCTTTACCACAAATTTTTAATCGGGAGATAAAGAAATAACAAATACAGCTCAGTGTGCTTATTTTAAATTTGTTGCAAGAGATATTAAAAAAATTACCCAAGAGAAGGAAAAGAAATACAAGGGGAAAATAATTTTTTTAAAAAATTATTTATTATTATTATTTTTACTTAAATTCTTTTATTGGTACATTTTAGGTATACAACACATTTACATTTCTCATTGGGAACTTGTTCCTTTACATGATGCATCCTGGTTCTTATTTTTTCCCCATTCCTAGCCCTCCCTTCATCCCCTCCACCCTTCCCTATTTACAAAGACTTTGTTTCCATTTTTTCCATTTCTCATCATTTTTCCTTTCCTTTCTTTCCTTTCCCCTGCCCCTCCCACTACCCTTACCCCTTTTGGACCTTTTCTTCCTATTTTCCATTATCGATTATTCATTCTAATCATTGGTACATTTTAGGTATACAATATAATGACATTCATCATTGGAAATTTGCACCTTTACATAATCTCTCTTAGTTCCTATTTTTCACCCTGGACCAGCCCTCCCTTCAACCCCTCCATCCCTCCCTATTTACAAAGATTTTGTTTCCATTTTTCCATTTTCTCATATTAATTCCATTTCCTTCTTTCTTTTCAAGGGGAAAATAGTTTAAATGTCAATAAAAAAGTTAGCCTACATAAATTATTCACTAACCCAGAAACAAAAGTATAGATACTATAATATAATCAATTCCTATAATACAATCCATTCCTATAATACAATTCACTATGGAATGCCTAGAATTGCCAGGCAGTATACCAGGGAATTGAAACCCCAATGTAATAAAGTTGATATTTTTAATAATATTAATTCCTTTTCATTTACCTTTGCAACATGTAAGACTTTCTTCATTCAGCCTAAGACTCCCATCTGTCTCAGTAGGGGATGTGCATTATTATAGAATAAGTGCAAAGAGAAAGAATAATTCATCTTTAACATCTGACATTCAAAACAGAATTTTGCAGCAAGACTATAGGCATTTTAAAAGCGAAAGAAAGCTAAGTTCTTTTGTCTCTCATTTAATGTATTACAGGCTAGGTCTAATGGGCTGGTTGCTAATAGAAAGGGAGGGAAACTCATTCCTTGAGAAAGGACTTTAGGGACTGTACAGATGAAAAAACTTAGAGAAAGGGAGGTGAAAGAAACAATGATGTGTTCTAATAAAAGCAAGTCAGGTTAAGGGGATTACTAGATTATAAACCTGTGAACCCCACATGGCAGAAATTTTTGTTTGTTTTGTTCATTACTGCACTCCTGATGCTCTGGAACAGTGATTAGCACACAATAGGGACAGTATATATTGATTGTCCTACTCTGTTCTGAACTCTTAAGTGTAAAGTACAGAAAGGAGGTAGGAGGACCCAAAAGGGACTCAGCATGGTCAAGAGGGCAAGTTAAGGGGATCAGATAAACATGTACATCATGGATTGAGCATGACAGGTGAGGTGAGTCCAATGAAGTGGATATCTTGGACCTTGGACCAGGTAGAGAACATTTCAGATACTCAGCAGGATGTGGAGTGACAGTAGGAACTCAAGGAAGGCCAGGATGGATTGGGAGTCGGGGTAGGGGGAGGTTAGACTGATGAAACCAATAAAGACTAACCAGAAAGTTATCAGCTACATATATCAGCAGCTTCTGTCAACAACGGAACCCAGGACAGGACTGAATACACAAGTCATAACGCTAGCTTCTGTACAATGCCCAACTTATTCGTATCCATGTGAGACTCTGCTCCGTGTGCCAGATGTCTCTTTAGACAGAAATAGGGAGAGGATGGGCCATTGATAACATAGAACAATTATTTCAGAGAGACAAGGTTAAAGAGATTGTTATAAATATATTATCAAAATAAGTTTTAAAACAACTGAGGCTCAAATTATTACTTTTTCTTTTGCCTGTCTAGCAGTTGGGGAATGATAAGATCATAGAAGTCTTTAAGAATAAAATACACTGTTCCTAGTGTATCTAAGCAGTGTGAGTAATATTCTGTAACTCATGCCATCAGAGACAGAAAACATAGTTCCTGTCACAAAGACACTAGAGGGAGGGGAGAAAATTAAAATAGCAATTTTTATATAACATGATTAAACAGATTATACAACAAAGGAGCTGGAAAGAGCATGAAACCTAGACCTATGGGAGGGATGGTGAGGCAGTGACTTCCTGAAAGCAACATCCTGAGAGGTCTGAGGTGGAGAAGAGCCAGAATATCCCTAGAAGCAAAGCCATTAATAACAATAACATCACTCTGTACAGGGCCATACATAAAGTCAGCAACATTCCATTTCAATTTAGAAAGTCTTGGGAATAAGTCAGTGCCCTGGCATGTAGGATTTACTGAATGGGATCACTGAGAATGCAGTTAAGGTCACACTCATTCACTTGCTCACTATGTGAGTGTAAACAAGTTCCTTAACGTTGGGGACTCAGTTTCTTTCTTTTTAAATTAAAAGTAATACCCGGGGATTTAGCTCAGTGGTTCTGCCGCCTGCCTCACAAGCACAAAGACCGAATTCAATCCCCAGTACCAAAAACAAAAACCAAAGTAAATTAAAAGTAATAATACTGTTTTGAGATTTGAGTTAGTTCGTGTGAAAGGCTTAGAACTGTTTCTTTAACCTCTTAGATGCTTATTAAATACTAGTTGTTGGTAACTAGTTATAGGACGTATATTAATTTTCATGTTTAATACATTTTACTTTTGTGATCTTTGGAAGATGAATAACAGCTTAAGAATTAGGGCATAAGGGGCCAAGGGTTCAGCTCAGTGGCACCGTGCCTGCCTTGCAAGTGCAAGGTCCTGGGTTCAATTCCCAGGATGGCAAAAAAAATTAGGCCACAAAAGAGGCTAGATGACTTGCATACTATCCAAGGAAAATACTTTTCCCTAATTCTGTTTTCTTTGAAGAGACAACTTCCCTAAATAATATCCTGGCTTCTCTTTGCTCTTTACCTTGCTCCATTCCTGGGGAGGCAGAGCAATTTATCAGGCAGGTAAATTTGGGAAGAATAATTGTGAGCTCTGTTCTTCCTTGTGTTAGTTACTTTTCTCTTGTTGTTGAGACAAAATACCCAACACCCAAAGTTAAAAGGGAAGGGTTTATTGGCTTACAGTTTATAGAGGTTTCAGTCCATAATCAGCTGGCTCGAAGACAGGGATGGCAAACAAGCATCGCAGAAGAGAAACACAGCACGCACAAAGCAGCAAAGGTAATGAGAGACTTTAACATCTCTCTGTCCCTTTTATCTTATTCAGACTACCAGGGTAAGGGTGGTGCCAAACTAATCACTCACATGTAGTGGTTTAGTAATCACACGCCCTTAACCCCAGCATCACACATTCCAGATTCAACTACCTCTGAAAAAGAAAGTCCCACCTCATTCATATGAGGCTTTGGGAAGACATCGAAACACAAACCATAACATTCCTTTTGGGAGCAAACTGCACCGATCATGATTCTCCCAGTCCTTCTGTGACTGAGAGGGTTGCCTGGCCTACTTCTAGAGTTTAGCTTTAACACCGAAGCTTATTTGGCTGGCACATCTAAAGCAACATTCTCCAACAAGATGTGTGTGTGTGTGTGTGTGTGTGTGTGTGCGCGCGCGCGCGCGCCCAGGCTTAGTGTTCTGTGTACCAAACATTGATTCACCGCCAAGCTTCCTGAGGGAAAAAAATGGTACACTTTTGAAACATTTCTTAATATGGTCAAGCACATCGAATAATCAGCTTCATGTTTTGCTTGGAGACATTCCTCCTAGTCTTTTATCCTCCTTTGCAACCACTTTGGCACTTCTGGACCAGTTTGAGAACAATTAAAAATTTAAATGAAGTACCATGTATTCAAACTGTGACAAGTTTGTCTAGGAAGAAAGGGAGCAGGGGTGAATTCAGAGCCCAGTGTTTCAGTGCAAATCACAACAAACAGGAAGGAAAGAGCCTAAGAATAAAATTAGGATGTCACTGCATGGTAAATATTTGTTAAAGAATGTATCAAGATGTACATATGAAGAAGTAAAGTTGGTCATATTTCTGTTCAAGACCAAACAAAACAAAACGTGAGCTTTATGACCTTGCTTAGGAAAATTCCTAAACACTGACAACAAATTAGCTGAAATCAGTGTGAGATACTTGGAAACTGTGTCAGGAGGAAAGTCAAGAGGTTTTTTTCTTTTGGGGAGAGTGCTCTTTTTTTTTTTTTTTTCTTAGAGTAGATCTTTTAAAATGTTCCACATTCCCAAATTTAAAACTTAATCATTTCACCCTTGCAAATATATCAAATTTCCTGTTAAAATCATGGGCTCCAAAATTTTAATAATGGAGGGCTTAGGATTGGCAGTTTGGTTGTAGAGAAAAAGGGTTACTCCAGCTACACACAGCAGAAAAGTGACAATGGCTTAAATAAGAGATGTTTATTTCCCACATAAAAGTTTAGAGTTAAGCAGTTCAAAGCTTGTGAGGCAACTTTATGAAGACATAAGGCTTCTTCCAACTCATACTTTCCTTCCTTTTATTGTGTGAACCTCATCATAATTGCACAGTAAGGCTCCCAGAGCTCCAGCTATCATAGCTATGTTCAGACAGCAGGATGGAGAACAGCGAAAGAGGAGTTAATTTCTTTCCATTAAGTAGAAGTCCTAGGGCTGGGGCTTTAGTTCAGTGATTCCACTGCCTGCTTCGCAAGCATAAGGTCCCGAGTTCAATACCCAGCACCAAAAAAAAAAAAAGAAGTCTTGGAATACCTTGCAACATTTCTTCTGTATCTTATTAACCAAAACTTAGTCTCAACAAGGTACACACAAAAATAATTTTATATAGACAGTGATGAGACATTCTAAGGCCTAGGTTTTGTTATTAAAGAAATTTTTTGAAAGGAGCATCCAAACTTTGTCTCCAAAGTTCATTTTCTGTGATTATCTTCTTTTTGAAAAATCTCTGATTTTCCATACTTCTTACCATCATATTCAAGTCCTCCTATTTCTCTGCCTTCAATTCTATTTACTTTCCTATCATCTCTTTTTCTCTTCACTGGCTATATTTGTGTCATGGTTCAGATGGAAAATGTTCCCCAAAAGTCTCGTGTATTTGGAGAGTGACTGGATCATGGGGTGCAAAACTCATTAGATTCATCTACTGATGCATTCACAGCTGAATGTACTGGGGGTACTCCTTGCAGGTGAGTCTTTGGCTGTTACCTGGAAAGGTGTATTCTTGACCCCGGCTCCTCCCTTCTCACTCTGCTTCCTGGCAGGCTGAGGCAGGCAGATCACTGCGAGTTTGAGGCCAGCTTAGGCTACACAGTGAGTTGAAGGTCAACTACATCGCAAGCCCCTGTCTCTAAAAGCCAAAAGAAAGAAAGTTGCTTGTGGAGGATATTTTGCCACAGTGACAAGAAAGTAATCAATAGACTCTGAATACTGCAAAAATGTAGAATAATTTATTCAATTTAGAAAGGATTTCACACGATTCAAAGTTCTGTAAAACAAAAGTATGACATTATAATAATGTCAGTGTATAGCACTATAAATTAATATACAGAAAATACTGAAGAGTATAAAAACCGAGTAAGGCAGTCTCATCCATTTCAAATACAGACAACCATTGAATTAGGATCTAACCATCAATACCTCAAATAACCATAATAACAACTTCCTTTTCAAAAAACATACACAAACTTGGAGAAAGCCTCTTCTGACGATGGCCCTTCTCTAGTTTTCCAAGTGCATCAGTATAAATATTTTAGAAAACACGAGTTTCACTATCAAAGAATTGAGAGAATCTATTAGATGTCCCTCAAGGAGATTCTTCTCAAACCCGGGATGATGGCACACACCTGTAATCCCGGCACTCTGGAAGGCTGAGGCAGGAGTGTCATAACTTCAGGACCAGCCTGGGCAGCTTAACAATACCCTGTCTCAAAAAAAAAAAAAAAAGGTGAGGCTGAGGGCCGGGGCTATAGTTCAGTGTGACAGCCCTGGTTTCCATCCCCAGTGTTCTTCTCCAGAAACTACACCATGAGATTATTGTGCATTTAAAGACCTGCACAGGGCAGGCACATGACAAATGTTCACCAAAATTAAGATGGACATGGCCTTGGACTGCAAATTCATTGGTATTTGAAGAACTTCACAAATAGCATGCTGATATGACTTTTCTTCTTAAAAAGACACTATGTGGCTTGTAAAATTAGTCTGAGAAGGGCCTGGGATTTAGCTCAGTGGTTCCGCCGCCTGCCTCAAAAGTGCAAGGTCCCGAGTTCAATCTCTGGTACCAAAAAAAAATAAAAATTAGTCTGAGAAGCACCTCATATTAAATCATAGTTCTATCACTTAACATTCTTCACTTTATTTCACAATATGGAATCTCCAAAATTAAGGTCATATGTACTAACAAATCTTGTTAAATTCAAGCACCTGTGTAAGAATGTATCACTACTAAAGGAATGCATGTCCTCAATCCATTTTATTCCTTATATCAAGCTGAAATATTGGGCACTAGAACGAGAGTTTTTCTGAAGGAAGGACAGGTGGAAATGCTAACTCTGGAGCCCTAACAGTGAGCAACAGGAGGGCAGGGTGATGAGACAGCCGAAGGAAAGACTAAAGTGGAAGACGACGTGGAGAGGAAGAGCCTGAAGATGAACGTAAGTGTGATCTATGGGTCACAACATGGTCAGGGTCCCAGTCTACTAACGTCTGTACTTAACCAGTACTTAGCACAGATAAGGCACAGTCCTGAACCCTCATTTGGAGGGACCAGGGAAAGGGGGATGTTACTAGAACCTCTGCAGCAAGTGCTAGTCTCCTGGGAGCCACGGCAGCACAAGGCGAATTAACTTATTATATAGGAAAGGTAGAAAAAATGAGACTTTGAGAAGCTGAGCTTTGGGCCTGATCAGAGCTGCTCTGGGCAGCACAGACAAAAGCTCCTGAACTTGCCGCACCTTCTATTCAGTACACAGGGAGAAACAGATGTAACAGATGACTGGGGAGTGGCGGAATTCCTAGATCAATGCGGAACAATGCCAACGAAGATTTGGTTCTTCCCAGGTCATCTTCCGCTGGTGTGGTCTTGGCCTGGAGCATCACAGTATCATGGAATCTTTGAGGTCTCAGTTGTAACCCGAGGCCAAAATGGAATTATGTCTTGAAATGCCATAGCTGGCCTCTAGGCAGGAGAACTAGACCTAATCAAATGATTTTCCCCTAAAATGCTGTAACATTGCTCCCGATCCTCATTTAATTAATAGTAGGTGCTATTTTTATCCCCATTGATTGGTAGGAAAACTAAAGCACAAAGAAGTTGTGTACCTTCCGAGGCTTCCCAACAAGTTAGTGGCATCACTTCATAGTCATGAGTCACAGTGCATCACTTGCACTGCAAAGCAGTCACTTTCAATATTGTTTTGAACCATGACCCCCAGTGGGAACCAAAACTAAGTTACATAAGTTTTGTGAATTAATACTTTTATCAGATGTAACACATTCAGCTATTTCATTTTTAAAATTGCTTGCTGCCACTTAAAAAATGATTTTACAACCTTCCAATGAATTACAACCCACAATTTAAAAAACATCACTTGAGACCAGAAATACAAATTGCAACTCCAAAGCTGTACTATCTTTAACAGTCATTTCAAATTTACTGTTTAGACTCCTGATTCTCCAATCCTATTCCTTCCCTTTTTTCTTCCTCTCTCAATGCTAAATGACAGCTTCTTCTATACCATCCATAAGCCACATACGCTACTGAACACTTAAAATGTAGCTGTAAAAAGAATGTAACACAGCTCATTAATAACTTTTTATATTGATTACATATTGAACTGTCTTAGCTATACAGAATTAAATATATTACAAGTTAACTTCATCTTTTTTTCTTAATGCGGCTTGACATTTTTCAATTACCTATATGGCACTATTTCTACCTGACAGTGCTTGCTACAGTTGCTGCGAATAAAAACCCTGGAATCATCCTTTACTTCTTTTTTTCTTTCCAGGAACAAATTCTACAGGCTGTACTTTGAAAACAGATGCAGAATTCAACAACTTCTCACCACTTTCACTACTATACCTTTTCTCCAGTCTGCCTCAGCGTAGCACCCACACATCACTTCTCTGCCTTGCTAACTGGTCTCCTTGCTTCCTTCCTTGCTACCCACTCCGTTTATTCAGCTATTCCCCAGAAGTTGTGGAGTAATCCTTGTAAAGGATCACACCTCCCACAGCTTTTTCCTAAAGTAAAAGCCCAAGTCTTTGCATTGGCCTTTAAAACCTTACAAGATCAGGACACTCACTCCAACCCTTTTCTTACCGCTCTTCACTCAGCTTCTTCAATTCACCAGGCAGACTGTCCCAAGACCTCCCCAATTCCTGTATGCCTGCATGTAGTCTTCTAACCCGACATCCCCCTTTCTTCTTTCGGTTTTGTTAGTCTTGCAAACTTCCCTCTCCTGAATCTTCTGGATATAGCCCTTCCTTCTCTGCTTTATTTCTTACAACTGATTAATCTACACAATTATTTTTCTCACCAATTAAATGTACGAGTTCCATGAGGGCAGTGAATGTTCTACTGCTGAATTTCTCAACACTTATATGTCTGTTCAACAACAGGTGTTAGTAAGTGAACGGTGCGTTCACCAGCTCAGTTTTGGACCGTTTGCAACTGGCCATTCTCAAAAAAATCTATTGAAATATAGAAATACTTCAGTATTTTTTAAAAATCCATTATCCTTCTTGGAACTACAGTACTGTAATTCCACAATAAATAGGGCACAATTTTTCTCTACATTCCACCAACTTAACCTAAACCCTTTGTCCATTTTCTCATGACCATTAGGTGTTCTGGAAAAGCCTGGGAAGATGGCTTTTCTTATCCCGCAGAAATAAAATCTCAGGCATCTGCGCCGAGTTCTGAATTTCTGACCGAAAATATGTGCAGTTTTATCTCAGACGGTCTTCACTTGTGGTCAGCGCACACTAGGTACCTCTAGATATTGTAAATAAGCGTTTTAGACTGTTCACACTTCACCCACTTAGTCCTTCCTGTCTGTTGTGGAAGCTGTGCCCTGTTAGGACTAGAGGCAATGGTGCTGGAAGGCCTGTCAGAGACTGTCGCCAGGTCTCTTATTTTAGACATGGGGCATGTTTTTTTAAAAAAAATCAAAACAAAGAAACATAATACATCGGGGATATAAGAGGCATCGGAAGCCGGGTCGCTCTACTAGCACCGTCCAGCCTTCCCAGGAAAAGATCTGCAGTGCGGCTCCACCTAGCTCTCAGCTCAGTCTGGCACTGCAGGACTTGAAGCTTCAACCTGGAGCTCGCAGCTGTTCCGGAAGGGCACACCTGGCCGCCACATCTCCCCCTGGGCAGGATTAGGAGCCCGGCCGCAGCGCCTCTACAGCCCCCGGGAATTCACCTGCTCCCTCGAGGTCCGAGACGGGCAAACTCTCGCGAGACCCGCGGTCCCGGCCGGCGGCTCCCGGAAGCGGTCGAGAGGGCCGCTCCACTCCCAACGCTGCGCGCCCCCGGCCGTGTGGGCTCCTGTCGCCTCAGGCAGCGGCTCGAGGCGGAGTCCGCGGGACTCTCCCTGCCTGCCAGTCACGCCGCCTGGGCCCGTCCCCGCGTCGCCACCCCGCCCTCTGCCCTTCACGGCGCCCTGCCCTCCGAGGGCTGCGACCTCGGCGGCTTTCCCTGGTGCTGGCCTGCGCGATCCCGGCCTCGCTCCAGCGCCGCAGCCGCGGGGCCGCAGTGTCTCCGACGCCGCACGTAGAACCCGATCGCCGTAAGTGCTAGGAATGCCGCCCGCCCCAGGGGCACACGCAGTCTTTCTATCTATAGCTCCCTCTGTACATCCTAGGTCTGCGGCAGCTATTCCAGGGGCAGCAACTGCTTCCCGCTGTTCTCTTCTCCCCATTGGTGGCTTCCGACCCGAATTTGGGAATGGGGCGATCGCCCACCTGTTACCGTGGAGCAGACTAATCTCCTGTAAGCAGAAGTGACATTTGGAGCGTCCACAGCCCTTTGGCCTGGGGCTGAAAATAATTTCCGCCAATTCCAGCCTTTCCCAAATGTATTGTTTTTCTCTGAGAATTCTTTAGCTTGTTTTGTTTTAGCTGCAAGATTTGTAACACAGTATTTTTGCTTCAGTCATATTGTGCCTGAAGGGAGGAAACAACTGTTAATTTATAAGAATCCGTGTTTCGCATTGCTCTTCTAGAGTTAAAACACGTTTAGAACATGTAAGTGGCGCTGTCAGCTCTGGAGAGTTTAAGGTAACATTTTCTTTTTCCTAATTCTTTTTTGTTCTCATAGGGGTAACGCATTCGACCTTGGCGTTCTTTTAATGCTGAAAGATTTCAAATCCTCCAGAACACAAAATGGAACACAGTAAGCAGATTCGAATTTTACTACTGAACGAAATGGAAAAGCTGGAAAAGACCCTTTTCAGACTTGAACAAGGTCAGTAGCAAATGTTTTGAGTAGCTCATTTGTGTCTTTTAAAGCTTTGATTCGTTGAAGGTCATATTAAATCTTTAAAACTTTTTAAGTTAAGGTCTGGGGGATGTGGCCGAATGGTGGAGTGTGTGCTTAGTATGAGTGAGTTCCTGGGTCCAATCTCCAGCACCCAAAAAGAAAAGAAAACTTAAAATTAGACATAGTTCGTAGGATCTTTCTTAAACTTGATTTGTGCAAAAATGGCGCTGTGTTCTACAAATATCAACATTAATGATTGATTTTAGAAACATTTTGTATCTGTCATGTTAGAATAGGAATAAAATAGTTCATTTTCTTTGCATGCTAACTTCCACTTAAGCTACATATGTAATCAAAAGATTGACCGTATTATTTCCAATAGCATTTATTGTTAAAACTTAATTAAAAACTTCATATGTAATTTTGCTTTGAATGTATCAATAGTTTGGTTTTTTATAGTTTACTGTTTTTTTATTGAACTTTTGTATTAACAGAGATCAGCAAAAAAGTATATTGTTTGTTTACCAAATGCCTTTCAAATACAGAGAAGGAAAGTTGAAAATACTTTCTTACCAAATAAAAAGTGGAATAACTTTTTGTCATTGGGTTATGTTGAAATATATTTGAGCTGTGATTAAACAGATCAAATTATATTTCTGTAAGATAAATTAATAGTTTTTAGGCTTTGTAATTTTTCAACATTTAAAAACATTTCACACTTATTTTATGTGAATATAATTTGTGAAGTAGAAGCTTAATATATGAAAAATAAAGTCCAGTCTCCTTTATGTGTGTACCAAATGGGCCTTGATAAATGTTTTGGAGAAATTTTATATCTCTAATATTTTGAGCATTAAAATTCTGAAAAAAAAATTCAACCATCTAATGTGCCAAATCCTCCTCTTCTTCCAGCTTTGTTTGTCATTTAAGGTCGTTGAGTAGTTGCTCCATTTTTGGTTTTCCTGACTCTGCACTTTTCCAATTTTTGATTTTTTCCCCCCTACCCTCAAGTGTTCTCTCAACCTGGGATCTGTTACTGGGCTCTCTTCTTTCCACACTTAAATTAATTAATGGTATATGCAGCACTAGGAATCCTTTCTTTTTCTGTTTCCCTATTCTCAAGGAATTGTATGTTCTCCCAGCCTCAGCTTTTACCTCTATGCTGAGTGAAGACTCCTTTGGAAAGAAGGGCCATGAGCTTTGTTTTGTTCTTTGAAGCTTTTGAGTATAGTATGACAAGGGTCAGGAACAAGATTTTCCTGACTCTGCTGTTAACTGTGTGACTTTAAGCAAGTTACATTAATTCTGAGCATTGATTTCTCTATTTGTGAAATGAGAATATTCTGTTCTTCTATGAACTTTCTGAGTTCTGAGGCTTAAAATTAATAATATGTGGCTTTGGGTGATAAAGTCCTAAATAGATACAGTATAAGGCATTGGTAGATCACTCTGCCTGTTGTAACCCTGTATCTTGGCTCCACCCAGTACTATGCTACGGAGTAGTCTTAGTATAGGTCTTCTTGATTGTGCTTCAATCTAACGTGTTTAATCCCCTCCCACCCAGTTCCTGAACTTTCTTGAAACAAGCTTCCCTGTTTATTTTAGTGACGTTTCTATTTTCATATTTTCCCAGGTTAGAACCTTATATTCTTCTTTGATAATTTCTTTTTTATAATCTCTCTTTAAGCCCTATAACTTCTTTCCATGTATTTCTGCCTGCCTAGCCCTCTGTCTCTTCCATAGGACCAAATATAGATACCAGAATAATCTGCTTATACTGTACAGTCTCTTTTCTTTCTATTTATTGGCATCCGTAAAGTCATATTTAAACCCCTGTGTCTGGCTTCTAAAACATTCTTGTTTTGTTTGGTTTGTTTTTTGAGACAGGGTCTCCCTTTGTAGTTCAGGCTGCCCTTTGAACTCACTATGTATCCGAGGCTGGCTTTGAACTCACAGTGATCCTCCTGCCTCAGCCTCCTGAGTGCTGGGATTAGATGTGCACCACGACGTCGGGCATCATTCTGTAGTGGAATCTTTCCTAGTAAGATTGTATCTCATTGTTTCCCACCATTAGAGTGTAACATCTTTATAGTTCCCCTTTATAGTTCCTGTTAATTCTCTCCCCGGACTGTCCTTATACCCCAACTCTTACCAGATTCTTCTGTATCTGTTAAATTCCTTTTATTCTTGTTTTGTATGTTCAGCTTTCAGCTGAAATGCCAGGCTTCTTGATGAAGTCTTTAATTTTTTATTTTCTTTGCTTTGATTTCCAATTACACAGTAAACAAAACAATTAAGTACTGAACAGTGAAGCAGTGTCTAAAAGTTTGTTGGTCTTACAGTGTCCAACTAGAGTTTGAGGTTCATGAGGAAAGGGACAGTTTTACAGTCTTAATGCAGTGTACAAGAGTTAATAAATACTTGTTGATCAGTACCCAAAACTCCAGTTAAAACTGGTAAATTCAGTTACACTATTTGAAGAGGGAACTGTGAAGGGTTTATGGAATGAGAATAATGTGGTTAGATTGGTAGCTCTAGTTAAAACCAGTAAATTCAACCAAATGCTATAAATGGGAATGCCACTTTTTTGAAATAATTTTTAATGTGAAAGATGAAGCGAGGGAACATTGGGACAAGGAATCATTGAGAAGGCTCTTTTTTAAAAAAAATACAAGAATCCTTTTAAAGATAAGGATTTAACATATCAGACTTGAAAAAGTGAGGACAGAGTATGACATATTTTAAAATTAGTAGGACTCAGTGGCACATTTGAGGAAAAACTCATTTTTCATATTGAATTGGTCACCAAACCCCTCTCCATTTTTCTTCTTTTCTTTTTTCCCTAAGAAAGAATTCCTCTTCATTTTTAAGATTGAAATTTCTAAAGATATTTAATTCAACAAGTTAGGACTAAATATTAATCTTACATAGCCAAATCATAGTCTTTTCCGGATTTTTTTATCTGATTTAGTGGTAGTATTACGAACAAAATCAATATTCCTCAAATCTGAAATTTTTGCATCTTTTTATAAAGGTTGGTCAAATTTTCAATTTTTACTATTTAAGAAAATGTACACTGCATCAAATTTCCTTGATTAGAATCTTGAGCTTCTATAAATTGGGTGGGAATAAGAATTTCAATTTACAGTAATACTTTAATCATTCATCTTGCTAATTGTCTTACAACAGGGATATGGCTAATCTAAGTATAGTATTCCTAATGTTAGCATAAGGAATAAGATAGCCACACTGTGTACTGTATGACCTAAGCTAATTTTAGCAGGCTGCGTGATTAAGTATAGAATCTCAATAGTCTGGCTATTCTTATGCTCTGTTTACTGTATATAAAAATTTTAGTTTCAGTGATTTGGATTAGAGATCTAGAGTGGCTCTGGACCCCTGTGGGTATGAATTGATCTGTGTATTAGGGTATGGGAGAAAAAATAAGATCTTTCTTTCCTTCTTTATATCCTTTATATTTTAGGGGTTTTTTAAAGTAATTTAAGTTTTGCTAATATATGAATTGACCGCCTGCCTCGCAAGTATAAGGACCCGAGTTTGATCCCTGGTACCAAAAATAAAAATGAAACAGTGTTAATATATGAATTGACATTGACACTCAGTTTCTAGGTCAGATGACAGACATGTTATGTGGGAAGACATAAAAACAGAGACATATTATGTGGAAAGAGTGTCATGGAAAGGTTGTAGGTCTACAGTGGCTCAGAGGTTAAACCCTCACTTGTTTGTTTATAGTATATTGCCATGAATTGCACTTTTCCCTAAGCCAAGTTAGGTAGATATCCAGGTTGTAGTATCTTAAATAATAGGGAGTAGGGATGTAGCTCAGTGATAGAGTGCCTAGCATGTGTGAGGCCACAGGTTCAATCCTCAGTACTGCAAAAGAAAAGAAGAGAAAAAAATCTCCCTAAAACTTTGGAACAAATGGAAGAGTAATGTGAATCTCTTTTACTTCATAGAGATGGCCAGCCTTAAAGATGAGTTAGAAATTGAGATTTGCTCTTTGAGATTTTTCTTTTTTAGGAATGACAAGTATGATACTTAGAAATTATTATCCCCTCCAAAAAGCACTTTAGATCTTTGAGGCAAACGTGAATGAGAAAGTTAATTGCTTTTTTGAGGAAAATTGATGCTATGGAACAGAGTTTGGCACATTCTCCCATGTAAAGATTCAGGGAGCAAATCTTTCCAGCTTTGCATGCCATTCAGTCTGTTGCCGCTAACCAGCTCTGGCATTGTAGCTCAGAAGCAGCTGTGAGTCCTAAATACGTAAATAAATGGGCATTGGCTGTGTTCCAATAAACTCCTTACACAAACAGGTATAATATTGGCTGCTTATAGTTTCCCTTGCATAGCAAAAGCATTTTGAATGTGTGCTTCTAGAAATGCTTGCATTGTTACATTTTACCCTTGTAAATGAATACATACCAACTTTAAAAATTAGTAACAGTTTTCTAATCTGTTGAATAAAGGGTTTGAGCTGGTTTTCAAATCATATGCTTAATATATTAATACAGAACATCATATGATTAACTTGTAAAAACAATGCTGGATGTCAGAGAAAATATAAATTTACCAGCTGCATTTTAGCAAAAGTCTTTGAATGGGAATGAAGATTTACATCATGGATAGTAGGCATAGCCACCAGGAACTTCCTTCATTTGGATTTAGGTATCTTTGTTTTTTTGTTTTGTTTTGTTTTGTTTTTTGGTACCGGGGCTCGAACTTGGGACCTTGCGCTTGCGAGGCAGGTGGTAGAACCACTGAGCTAAATCCCCAGCCCCATCTTTGGTATTTTTTGCACCTTTGATGTCAGTTAAAGGCATTTATCAAAATAAATAGAATCTGGACTCTTTGGACCACTTTATCTAAAATATTAAACCAAACTTTTAAAAAATATTCAAGTTTATTTAATCACATTGTTTTCACTGGCTAATAGGATCAATATTAATTTTTAGTGAATT